GCAGGAATTTTGTTATTGACTGTAATGGGAACAAGGGTAGGTGAACAGAGAGCTTCATCACATACACCTTGTGTCTCAGTGGGCACATAACCAGAGATTAAAATGCCCTCTGCTTCCCATCCTGACCATGATCGTGTTGAAGAAGGCACAGCAGAAAAAGGTGAGGGTCAGGTAGCACAAACGATTAAGTGGCGTTATGTGTCACAAGGAAACAGCAACTGTCCTGGGACTGCTAGGCTTACCTTGCTCTTGGCTTAATATCCACTCCCCATCTTTGCAGTGTAATGTGTGCAGGGAAACGCCCTATCACTTATCGTTAGAAGGGGAGAAGAGAGGAGCAGGTCAAGCTTCTGGATTCTGTTCCAGGCTCTGCTGCCATCTTGCTGTTTTTTTTTGTACAAGTCATTTAACTTCTTCAAACCCTTTATTTAAAAAACAACAAACCCAAGCAAATCCAAAAAAGAAAAAGAAGTCTCACTAAGAAGCAAACATGCTATGAGGTCTTTGGCTGAAAGGACCTGGATGGATGTGAAAAAGATTATGAGCAGCAAGGAGAGAAGAAACATCACAGCTCACTGTCTGATTTTTTTCAGGAAACTTTTTTTTTTCCCCAGTGTTACAATTCACTTTAATGAAGCAGGTGCTATTTGATTTCACTTCCAAGACATCTCTGTCTCAAGGGTTGAGAAGGGAGACAAAGAGTTAGAAAAGAGGACAACTGTTGTTTTTCCTTGCCACAGGATAGAACACCTTGGACTCAATGTTGTCCTTCAGCTCTTGGTTGGGGTTCCTCTGGAAATGGTGCACGGAGCTGCGAGGATCAGTTTTGTGTACGTTGCTGGAGTTGTGGCAGGTAGGTGACACCTCTGAATGCCCCTGATGGAGAAGCATCTGAACGTGGTCTGTGCTGACTTTTGTGTAGGAGAAGTGTTTTGTGACCTTTGGGTGTAGGAGTAGAGCGGTCACTGATCTTCTCTGTGTTGAAATTCTTTTGGAGGCTGGAAGTGGGAAATATGCTACAACTTAACATCTGTTTCTAACTACCCTAGTTGCATAGGCTCTGTGTTTAGAGATCTGCTAAAAAAGCACCAACAACCTGTTACTTTAAAATAGCCTTTCTTTAGATGGGCTTCCTGAATGTGGAGGTCATGCTGTTCCTTCCCATAGAGGCCCAGAAGAAAGGTGACATCACAGGCATCCCTGCATGAGGAGGAAGAGTCTTTTTTTTTTTTTTTTTTTTTTTTTTTTTTTTTTTTTGGCCAGGTCCTGTGCCAGTTCTTCCTCCATTTGTCGTGTTCTGTCTGCTTTTTACAGCCTGAGTAAGCAAGAAGTATTTGGTGGTAGGTTGTGAGCAGTGCACAGGAATCTGGAAATTCATTTAATCATGAAGCCATGGGGTTTGATTGATTTTTAGTTTGTGCTGTATTGCTTTTATTTATGCTTGGCATTTCCAGCAGTTTAGAGGTGATGAAAGTTAGCTGACAATAGATCAACATCTAATTAAAACAAGAGCAGAGCGTGAGAACAACCAAGGGCTTCACAGTGGAACTCAGTGATTGACTGCCTTAGTCCAAGATTTATGGTGATTTTTTTTTTCCAGCTACATAATTTTATTTTTTCCATAATGAGCAGATGAAGCCTTTGTAAAATGGGCTGCATTGGGTACTAATAAATTTTACATTCCAGTAGAGAGACTGCGGAAAGAATAATTGGGCTAGGAGACAGGACTAGGCATGGTACAAATACCACACAATTTAATGCAGGGAAAGGAGTTAGCAGACCAGCTCCACGGTCTCTTGCCTATTATTTTAATAAGCTCTAAAGTGGTCCCCAATCTGCAACTTTCCAGACATAAGCTTTTCTAGAGAGACCCATCTACAAAACCCTCGGGCTTCATTTATGTATCTGTAAATATGCGTTGCACATCTGTGACAGGTAAGCGAAGCAAGTGAGCATTGAATCTGCTGCCATTGAGCCCAGGCAAGTGCTGCGAGCTGACGGCTGCCTTTCAGATTTCTGTGGCCATGGACTTACTGGCAGGGTCTGCAGGGCCAGAGACAGGTTTTACTGGGCATTGGGCTGGGCTGAATGCCCAGAGCTCTGGAGGCTGCAGCCAGAGTCTGAAGCTCACTAGCCCACCGAGCATTATTGGTTCATTTCTGCTACACAAACAATCCAATTTTTTCTCAGACAAGCTGCCAGATCCTCATAGACTTGTCTTTCACACCCTATGACCTATAAATTGTGGAAGAAAGTGCCAAATGGAAAGGGAAAACTTCCCTTCTGAATGCAGAATGGAACTACAGATGTGACTGGACAGTCCCACGCAGAAGAGCATCCCGTGATACCCTTATTTGTTTGTTAGACAATTATTAAACATGCTTTATTCTCTGACATATGCCAGGAGAGAGAGAAAGAGGCACACTTACGCTGAGCATCTGGCAATATAAAGATAACACTATTCCTGAACAATCAGGAATAAACAGTAAAATGTAGACACAGGCCACCTCCTCCCTGTTTTTTTTCCTCATTTGTCTGAATTTACTAAGACGACGTGTTGAGACTGAGATCGAGAAACTGAAGGTATAAACTCAGTGCAGTGTCCAAGGACTTAACTGCAAGTTCTCATTACTCCTTTCTTAACTTCTCATTAACTTTTTCCTTAATGGCAATGTTTAAGAGCTGAGAAGTCTCAGGGCCATACAGTGAAGGAGGGAGCTGTCAGCAGACTTAGGCTGGTGGAACCTCAGCACTTTCTTGACCCAGAATCAGCTGACCAATTAGTAAAAAGTTTGTTAGATTCTGTACTACCAAGGACTCTCTCAAGATTTGCCATTGTGTCTTTTTGCTGTTCCCACTCATCACAACGATCTTCGTTATCTCTGCCTTGTGACACCAAGTCTGCCTTTGTCTCTCTATCTCTTAAAATTACTCTTAAAATTTGCAATGAAAGGAGCTTTGAGCAGATCCAAGCCTTCAAATGGGATAAGGAGAAGCAGTGTCTGTGTTTGGATGTATTGTCATTAGTGGTGCCTGTATGTGATTGACCTGTCATTTTGCTGTCTTGTGTTCCCTGCCTCCATCTAGGTTGTTTTTAGCTATCTTTACTCTAAAGTTTTAGAAGTAACTGTTTGATCAGTTGTGCTAAGTTACAAGCCCACAGTTCCTTCTCACTGTGCAAATATTTGTCTTGCCAGCACGGGAGCTACTTCTACATTGTCCTCAGATGAGGAACACGACATTTTTTCTGTGTCCTGGATCCTTGTTATTTTAATCAGGGTGTAAGTAGCCTTTTGCAGCATAGATTTGAAGATACATTGCTGCCTTCCTTGGCTGCTTTTAAAGTTGGTGCAAACGAATCAATCAGTTGCTGGCTTGGCAGTACTGCAGGACTGAGCTGGGTTCACAAGTCAATTGATTCCTTCCCCCCTTCTCTTTATCTGTATATTACTGACCTGCAGCAAATAGCACAGAACAAGCAATAGGAGGGATGTAGGGTAGGAGAGAGTGTGTTTGTTTGGCTGGCACTTGTCACAAACCCTTGTTCTTTCTCCCAGGGTCCCTGGCAGTGTCAGTCGCTGATATGACTGCGCCTGTGGTGGGCTCCTCTGGAGGCGTGTATGCTCTTGTCTCAGCTCACTTGGCCAATATAGTCATGGTGAGTACCAGAGTCACTGTCTGACCTCTTTGTAGGTGAGCTGGGTCTAGTAGCCCAAAGGACTGGAAATAGGGCCTGACCCAGCTGTTGGTCGTTCAGAGCTTGCCCCAGCTAAGAGTCTTGTCTCAGTAGTGTGCTCCTGGAATGGAAGTGTTACACTGCGGTTGGTGGCTTGGTACCCTGACGATGGCAGCTTGCCAGAAGAAGCCAAAGATGCTGGCAACCCAAGACTTACCACTGTACTCCAGGCTATCAACTTTCCTTGCAAGAGCTGACAAATGTTTGGGAAAGGAGGAGCTGACTGGCTCTGCAGATGTTGCAGACTTGTTTCTGTCTGTGCGCACCATGTAATGTTAGTGGGTACCTAAGGAAATTTACTGTTTGGTGGGTTTGTGTGTAGAATATCCCTCATCTCCATTTGTAAGACCCAGACTGAAGCTGAACCTTGGGTGTACTAGTGATGCATCTTTTTGCTATTTGACCTCCTTTACAAAGGTCAGTAAATACATTATCATTCCTCCAAGGCCTGGGAACAGGAGCTCATCCAAGGTCCTCAGCTAGGTGGTGGCAAAGCCCAGCATATCTGCCTGTGTGACTCCTGAACAGGCCGCTGGGCAAAAATGGCTTTGCTGGGAGAGCTGCTTTTGCTGTGATTAGGATTCCTGTGTTGTGGTACAGGGCTGCACGTCTGTCCTGTACCAGCAGCGTCAGAGCAGAGTAACCATGAAAATGATGGTGACGCATCTTCCCTTGGGGTCTGGGTGGGAAGATAATGTGAGTCGGCTGCAGTAGAGACAGAAGGTCTGTTATGTGGGTGCTGGAAAACTTGTGTGTGTGTGGTGGTACTTGTGTCAAGCCTAAAAGCCAAACCTGGTATTTAATACTTGTGTGTAGTGAAGTCAGCAGGCTCCGGCTGCAGCCCCCAACGGGTGCAGCTCCAGGCAGCCTTAGCAGCAGCTGGGAGCAGGGAAGGGAGCGGTTTCCTGAGCAGAATAGGTCTCCTTTGCTGTCTTCAAGCTTTTTGGAGCGTGAATGAGCTGGGGGCTGTTGCCAAACTAGGACAGTTGAGTGTCTGGCAGAGAGATAGGGAGTGGAGGAGAGGGGTTACCTCTATACCACAGGGTTTCTGCTGGCAAAATGCCTCCTTATATGCAGCAATTTTCAGTATGATTTGTGTTCCCTGGCACTAGGCTAACAGCAGCAGGAGGGAATTTTCTCTGTCTCACGGGGTGGTAATGAAGACACAGGGTTTCTTCACACCAAGGTTCTTGGGGTCAGAGGAGAACCCTGGAGGAAATTTTGGTTTGCTTTAGAGAAAGAGGCTCTGCCAGAGGTGTGTTGCGAGTCTTCACCGGATACCTTCCCAGACCTCTTAAAACATTGCGGAGAGGCTTGTCATTTCACTGCTCATTGGCCTCCTCCAAACCTGTTTAGCAGTTGCTACCTTAGTATCCTTATTTCTCCATTATCTGCTGCCTCTTTTCTCATCTAAAATTACTTTTACTACCTTTCCCATTCTGGTGGGATTGTTTTGCTTTTCTTTCCCCCTCTTCTTTCTCTCTTCTTGCTTAGTATCTAGATGTGATGCTCTCGCATGCCGAAGGACATGCCGACCGTTTGCTGATAAAGCCCAGAGTGCTGCACAGGTGCTTTGAGCGTGCTGGGAACAGGAGGGACTGTTGCAGGGAGGGTCTCTTGAATCTTCTGTTCCATTGTGCCTCCTGGTAACCAAAGGAAATGAAAA